AAATGAGGCCACCAAGTCATTTGATTTGGCCCACCAGCAGTTGTCCTGGCTGTTAGGTTATAATCTCCTGTTTTAAAACATTATATTTCCACTTAGTCTTCCCAACCATTGGTCCAGCTACATAAGGGCTGTAGTGCAGATAGTCTTAACTCCCAGTACTTATTTTATCTTTGAAATAAATTAAATTTAAACATAAAATACAAGTAATTACAAGMGTTATTTAGATTAGATTTAAGCATACAACTACATTTGCACACGTTCTCAAATTTTAATTTATGTAAAGTCCCACGAGCCTTTGCTGCTCAAGTGTACGCCAAATTTTCTGCACATCCACTGGCTAAAAACAAATACCAAATAAAAAAATGTGGATGCTAGCTAATCATAAAAAAATAAAACAACTTTACTTAAAAAGTATTTGCATTTCATGTATTATGTTGTTGCATTTGGCCCACAGCCCTCAGATTCATTTTCATTTTGGTTATGCTTTCTTTTTCGGTACCCTTATTACCATGTAATTATAAGGTAATTAAAAAAATGTAATTAAATGCTATTACTACCTTATTACCATGTAATTATTTGGTAATTACGGACGGTACAAAAGAATAACTACTGTTAGTAAAACTACCTTTATTGGGTAACTACAATAAAATTACTATCAATAGTAACTTAACACTATATTTATGACCAAAAGAATGCAACTAAATTTTGGGGTTAGTTGTTAATTGCAATAAAAATATAACATTAAAACTCTCCAAATGACCTACTACTTATTTAGGTGTTACATAGTGAATTGTAGTACATTACTGCAGACAATTACATAGTAAAATTGTACACTAATTACCACATAATTACATGGTAATAAGGTAGTAATTACATTTAATTACATTTTTTATTACATGTAATTACATGGTACTAAGGGTACCGTGAAAGAAGGTGTTACCTTCATTTTGGCCCTCACAGGGCCAATGTTTGGACACCCCTGATTTAAACAGCACATTTAACATTTAGTAAAAATTAGCAAGATGTAAAAATAATTAGACTCAGAAAAGGAGCTAAATAATAAAAAGTGTTAGTGAGACTTTTTAAACGTTTTCTTTGACTCAACATTTCGAAGTGTTTGTGTTGAACTCTGAGCTGTTTGCAGGTGGACAGTTGGAAGAGGAAAGCCAGAGAGACCTGCTCCTCCAGTAACCAGCTGCTGGCTGCAGGTCTGTACGACGCAACAAAACTTGTTTCTGCTCTGAACAATATTCAGAAACAAAGTTTAAAGATCGTTTGTTTGTTGATGGTAAAGCCTGCAGGAGTCAGCAGGAAGTTACCCTCCTCCCTGAGCTGCAGGAGCTCCTCCAACAGAAGCAGGAAGTCAGAGCGCTGATGTTTGTGTTTCAGATCCTCTGATTGGACACATGGAGATGGTGACAGAGATTGTGATTCCCACTGTGTGCACGCTCTGCATCCTCCTGACTGCAGTGTTCTTCATGTTCCTGCTGCGCACACGCCTCTGAGTCACGTCTTCTGTCAGCAAGCGAAGCTGAAAGACCTTCAGCTGTTTGATTCTGAGCTGATCGTCTGTTTCAGGTTTGAAATAAAACATCAAAACAACCAGAATCTGTTGACCTCGCTGCACTTTATGATGACAGGATTAGACCTGAGAGCCTCCAGAAATTATAATGTTGCTTCTTCTGCTACAAATATTTTATTTGTCTTTTCAGGGGATTTAACTCAAAAACTCATGAATGTTTGAGAACCTTMAAAATAAATGAAATATTTCTTGTCATGATGTTCTCTAAAACAAGTTTAAAATATCTCAACAGCACAAATATCTAGTTTTACACACAGAACTCATAAAACACTAAAGTGGGTCTCAACCCAACAGGAAGTCGGCCATTTTGGGTCAAGAGATTTTCCACGAATTATTTGAACAAAGTCCTTTTTGAAATTTGAAAGTATCCCTGTAAACTTTGAACAAGTGGTAATCCATCTCTGGAGCAAAGCCTGAAAAATATTTGGTGAATCAAAATATAAGAAGAACATATTCTCTCTACTAAACACTGAAGATACTGAGAGACTCAAYGAGACCACCAGAGGTGAGTCTAGGATCTGACATTTAGGGGGTCTTATCCCCCAGCAGTGCTAAGACCTGAGGGAAGATGTGATTTTATAAATCTCACTACTATGAGAGACTTGACATGGACTCGTGGTTTGAGTGTAAAATACAGTTAACAATACTCTGAATGCTTCATTGTTTTTATCTCAACCTTAATCTTATCTGTATTTTTAAAGCAGTATTATTTTTTAATAGTGTTATAGACTAATTATCTGTTTCACCTTGACGCTGTCCAGTACTCATATATCTTATGATCATTTGTCTAATCTGTTTGCCCAGACGTCAGGACTCTGCAACGGACTGACCTCTCTTGTTTGATAAGAGACTCTTTGAGCTGAGAGCCTGTGATTGGCTGGRCAGTACATTCGTCGATCTGTGATTGGTTATAAGCWYGTCATATGATGTTATCATGGTGTATATTATTGGCTGCTTTCCGCTGACGTGTCAGCCACAAAGCCCGACAGACTTCGTGATTGACCTCTGTTTGTTTGTCGCTCAGAATTAACTCATTATTGACGACCACACACGCAGACTTCCTGTGCATTAATCCAACGTGTTTCTGCATTCTTGGTAAATCATGCCACGACAGAAATTGGCGTTGTCGGCAGGATTATTAAAACACAATACTATGTTTTAATATTTGATTAAAAATAGTATTATAGAATAAAATCTAGTAT